GCACCCTGATCCTTGTTGTCTTCAATATTAGTGTACGGAGGCCAAAAGCTAAATATTTGAACCTTTTCTATCGATTATGGATGTCAACTTACTGCTAATTTGCTGCACTTCATCTTTCTGACCAATTTAGAAATTGTTTGATGGAGGGCCCTCGTTGATCAAAGCATTGGCACAATATTTGACGTATGCTGACTTCCTTCCATGGCGCGGATCGTACATTATATACAAATCGCCTCGTGTTCGTATGAAAAAAGTAAGTTTCCTGTATACAGCAAAATTCCTTTTGACGACCCCTAACGCTTTGATTCATCTATCAAACTCGGAAAAAAGATGTGAGAAATGTTCCTTTTTAACTGGCCAGACGGTTCATCTTCTTTAAGTTGTAAATAATTGGACGTTAATTGAAATCAGAAATTATAAACGTAATCTGCGCGCACTTGACTAAACTAGCAAGTTGATATATTACTCAAATGCGCCAAAAAGACTACCACAATATAAAATGTCGAATAATTGGAAGGCGTACGAACTTGTCGGAAATTCCAACAATTTGCTGTCGGGAATTTTCCGATTTATCCTCCTCGTATGCTAAGTGCCTGCAGACGCCGCAGTAAACGCTAACCCTTCAGCTGAAGTCTATGACGTCAACAGTTTGTGCGCTCGGGGAGTGATCAGTGGCAACTAGCAAGCCATCTGAATGAGTTGCCTATCCGACATGGCCCTACACTAAACTATATACAAAATATGCAATTTTTCACAAAATTAATTGCGATTTAGGTTAGTTCGAGTGTCCAAATTTCAAACATAGACGGTATTATGGAACGGAGATTTATATTGGATGCTATTCCTTTTGCCACTTTATGCACAAGCCGTCCGTCGGTGTTAGTTCATGAAACTCACGTCTCCCTTAGGACGATGCATCAAGGCTTTGCGATCTTGAAAATGCAGCATGCTAGCAGGCGCGGCACACCCAGGCCTCGCCGAGTCCAGCATTGGCGACAAGCCACTTTACAGCTAACAGTAATCCCATGGGACGGTTAAACAAAATTCTATACTCCTTAAATATAGAACCGATTAGACTCCATGGAATTGTCTATGTCGACTGGGGTTATGTCGCTTGAACAGTGTTTTTCCGAGGTAGGCTGTCGGCTTGTCAAGTGACGACTCGTGTTTTAATCAAAAAGGATGAGGTTGAGGTACTGCAGACCTTCCGGTGACTGTCAGTGATGTCATTGGTCAGCTGGCTCTCGCAGATTGCGAAAATAATTTGCTGATGGCGGATGTTTACCGAAAGTCTCTCACAACCAGATGCAAAACAACCAGGGCTATACTCGTTCGCGGCCTGCCTTCCGGTAACTGTCGGGGGGCAGTGAAAGCCGCCACTATATTTCACTCGCAGGAACATTTACAGCATAAAAACAGGTTTTTCGAATATTTTAACTTCGGAAGTACGCATTGTGGGGAAGTTATTTTATTATATATTTAGCTTCGGCACATAGGCTATGAAAATATATAACCAAAGCTGTCCAACGGAACCCTTTGAATAGCAGCTGCATATTGATATTCGGTAACAAAAGATATTAATGAAAAAACTAAGGAAATATCCGGGGAGACGGAGTCTAATATGCGAGCATTCCTAAGGTGGCCAGTAAGCCGGCAAAAGCCAAATTTTACATAAGCTCGGAAATGATAAAACACAATTCTATACCCAAACCTACGATAGAAGTCAACATTGTTCAAACATTAAACGTTTCCGGAAGACTTTACCTGAAGTAGGCTCTACCATCCTAAGAAGACGAGCATTGTTTGCGTTAGAAGTGATTGCGACGGAGAGTTGGAAGTTCTCCCTTTATGACCATCATTAACATCATTTGCTGCGTTGTAGGTCGTTTTCGACTGCAATTCTCTGCTCCCATTGACAGTTAGAATTTTTCGCCTGCCGGATGTTTACTGGCAGTATCACGCGACCAGACGCAAAACAAACAAATCCCTTTTGTTTTTGATCTAGCTGCGGCATCTAGCGCATGCCGGCATGTGCGCACATAATTTTAGACTACTCCAACAGGCAGGCAGTAAAACTATCCCGTCAAACCACCAGCCGGTATTCCCTCGCCCTATTCTTATGCACTCAAAATTCATGAATTAATATTTACCGGATACAGGTGATAAAAAAATATTTTTTGTGAAGAGATGTAAAAGAAAACAAAGGAAATGTTCACGCATAGCGAACGAGTTGTGCACAATGACTGCCGTGCAGTTGAATATAAAATGTCGCAAGATAAAGTGAGGACTTTTGTTTAGGCTCTTGAGGCAATAAATAAGTAGCAGGGAAGTAAGCACATGTTTGTTAGTTTTAAATAATCTGATGTTGTCATAAATCATGTGAAATACAATCCAATCAGTGAATCGTATGCTGATTATTAATCCTATCCGGCATATAAACGTTTGACTGACGGAGTATTCTTCTTATCTGCCCAACGTCTAGGAAACAAGAAACTTGGCACATCTAAGGACAATTCTCGATAGTTGCCGGTGATATTGGCAAAAATCATAACTTCTCCAGTTCTGATGAGAACGCTGTTATCGAACAATTGTTTAATTAGACGTGGTGTATTTACAGCGTAAAATCATTCAAAAAACCCATTCGAGAGTATCGCACATGCAGTTGGCTATAGATCTACGCTGACCTCTATGCATCCGCTCACATATTATGCTCGTTATGACAGCATGCGACTATCAGCGTTGTCGTTTAAGCACCCTAAACGTGCATATTTTTGGTTTTAGTTACGTCTTATATCAAAATATCACGTTGCTACTTATGGTCGGGTCCTTAAAAGGATATAATATTTATGGATAGCGGGTTGTAGTATGTCTAAAGCAGTCTTGCCTCCATCAAAATTGCTAACACGATTGTCAAAAAACCAAGAAGTGGTCTCTCAGAATTGCCTGTAGACAATCTGATATGCCGCAGTTGTAATTTTATTTAACTCTTCACTCGGACATCAATGCAATTTTTGCGAATCATTTTAATACGGAGAACGTAATATCGTCGGCATTGACAAAAAATTGCCTTGGAAAATGCAAACATAGTCTCTTTGGCTGTAGCCCGTGGTGGACAACTTGCGGATTGTCTTTGTTAAGTTCCGGGGAAATTAATGAACGACCATAAAGTAAATCCTTCAAGAGTGACCGATCTCATGAAATGTTGGCTTAATTTTCTGAAATACGTTTTCTATTAGGAAGAATAACCTGGGCGCGGTTGTAATTCTGATTAGTTTGCGGCATAATCTTATTATTTTTCAGACTTGGCATTATGTCAGCCTTAAAATGCACTTCTTTTAAACCTCCCGAAGTAAGTGTGCTTGATACAAAATGACTACTTATGTGGCATGCACGTTTTCCTATTAATTTCCGTTCGTCTTGCAAATTCAAAAATTTATGTTTTAGAAACCATAAAAATATGCTTTTACTTAGTCTTTTGATAGAAAATTACGTCTTCTTTATATTCAAAAAGGAGCATAATTGGATTTTTAGAAAGGTTTCTAATTATTAGATTTTTTAAGACCGCGCAATATCCATTCACATAACATAGGACTTGTCCGCTTACCACAACTCCCCATGAAATGTACAACATAGTCCGCTTTCACTCCAAAATTTTATGGAGTCTGTAGGATATCTTTATAAAGGCATAGGAAGATATGTGATTTTCTTTAAGCGCAACGCATGCACTTTGTAGACTGAAATTGCTAAGCGCTAGTGCAGCAAATGGCTAAGCTCCAAATTATTGGCAATTCGAATCCAATTTCAAAGCATAATTATACTTGTTCTTCGGATATAAAATTTAATGGTAATTCTCCATTAAACGACTAAGTAAAAGCACATTTTTTTTCGTGGTTTCTATAACATATATTTGAATTTGCAACGCTACCGCAAATCAATAGGAAAAAGTACATGCCACACAAGTAGTCATTTTTTATCAAGTACACGTTCTTCAGAAGGTTTAACAGAAGTGCCGAGTCCGAAATATTATGAGGTTATTCCGCAAGATAATCAGTATTACAAACGCGCCCAGGTAGTCCTTCCTAATAAAAGACGCATTTCAGGATGTCAACAAACATTTCATGAGATCGAATACTCGCGGTACATTTTTAGACACTGTTTGAAATTTGATAAAAGTATTTAAGCTGAAATCTATTTGATTCTGCGAAATAACAGCGTAACATTTAACAATTGCCAACGGGCAAACAGTAGTTTAGAATTGTATAATTATTTACCATAGTGACAACATAGGTGCTAGCAACAATCTCCTTGAAAAATCATTAAGGCAAAGTCAGACTGGAGTTCCTATATCAGAAAACACACGGTGAAGTCTGGAAGCCCTACTGATGGGTCGAACCACTATGCAGCTGCTTTATGCAACGGACGAAAAGTGGCGAAATACGCATGTCTGGACTTTTGGTTAATATGTGTGTTGGTAGTCTGGTAAATAATCCCACAATTATGTTAGACGGTTTGGTTTAAACGACGGGAAAATTAAGCTCCGTCCTGCTGAATACGGTGATCGCGAACTTATTACAACCGTTTTTAAAACCCCATTTGCTTTGCAGTTCTGCGTCCGAGTAAAATTCAAAAACGTGGATTTTGAGGGATGAACTAATAATAAGTAACAGAATACCATTCGCCAAATCCCACACTGGGCCGAGTATGATTTTTTTCTACCTGATTTCCAGTATTTGCTGCGCACTTATTGTCCATTTATGCCGCCTTATGGGCCACCTGTTATAGATTACACTAATTAGAATTACCTGAGTTATGCAGACATTATACAATATGGCCCCTATAAAGTTACTAATAGTACTAGAAATACAATTTATCTGTTTTAACAGAAGGAGCGCATTTAATTGTCATTATTTTCACAGAAACCTAAAAACTGAAGCATCTGACAGTTCAATTACAAATCTGTAAGATTATGGGGTAGGGGTAAAGTTTGTTACTTTTGCCTATCACAGCATCGTCGTCATGGACATTATCGCAACATCAACACAACCACTATCATCATCATCATCATCATCATCATCATCATCATCATCATCATCATCATCATCATCATCATCATCATCACCATCGTCGTCATCATCAGCATGAGCACCAACATCACCACTGAGCTAGCTGAAGCCTTGATCTTTTTCCGCAGACCTCCCATGCCTCTGGGCATTGGAACCATTAAAATCCTTTAATGTTCCCTAGGGAGAGACGTTTCCTTACGTCAGCGATGGTTTTAAGGCGGCTAGAGTCGTCCACGCAAAGATCGGTGTCGTCGTTGCTGTCGGCCAAAACAATGTTACGTGAGTCAAAGACTGAATGAAATGGCAAACAGTCGATACATTTTTATACTATTTTGTTGTCATTAGGTCTGCTTATAAGCTGGCCAAACCGAATGTGTACCTAATCACAAACGAGTTGGCGACGAGTGGCATTGTTAGCAAATGCGTCCAGCTAAAGGAACTGAAAGTGAGTACTCTCAACACCTCGAACGTTTTTTACAAATTCAATGTTGAATATTTAAAGAGTTCTCAAAGAAAAGAAACAAAATAAACAGAATTGACAGACGTAAAAATAGTATCCTCTGAAATTATTTGTCTATTGGTCCCTATATTGGTAGATTTAGCCAAACAGTGGGCAGAAGAAATACTTCAAAACTGTCACACCATGTTTTTAATAAATAAACTGCGCTAACGCTTTGTACCATGTCCAATATAAAGGAATTCCATGTCCAATTGACTATGCATAAATTTATTGTCTAAATTACTCTAAAGGAGCTAAAGGCTTTGGCTTTTTTGTATTAGCCGTTCACTGAAATGAACGCATCAGTTGCTCAAAGTGGTTTGCGTTACTTAAATGTCTCCATCGCTGGAAGCATTCTGAAAGTCTTCGTACATCAAAAGACTAAGGAAGAATCAAATTCATCGGTTTGTAGGACCAAACGAACGCAAGAGCAATCAACAGACTCAAAATCGCAAACGATGATGCCTATCGTGCGCCCTAAAACATGGCGCACATAAGTACGTCAACTGGCTTGCTGACTAGTTCATGACGGATTCCGTCTTGTGAAGCAGTAACTACGCTGTCATATTCGTCATCATTCTCGGCGCAGCAGTCAAGAAGGAGTTGAGACCATCAAAGAAAAGTTCTGGCGCGTTGACCGACAGACTTTAATAGCCCGTGCCACACACGACCTGGCGTGAGTTTAAACACGATTTTGACAGAATGAGAGAGGGGGCGACTGGAATTCCATCTAAACGACGATGCGATAGAGGCCACACTAAGAGGGAGCAACTTTAGTCCACCTGTCGACGAATTCAGACAAACGCAGAGGACTGATGGTGTAGAGCGAGTAATGACGTAATTTTATAACCTCCCGGGCAAACCGCAGTGCAGTAAGGTAGTTGTAAGAGATACATTTTCTGTGTAGCCGGTGGGTGAGTTGGGCGAACTCATATCTAAGGGACTGCAGAAGGCGAAGCGTGATGATGAATTTTGGGATGTGGTGTTTTAGTGCAAATGTTCCCTTAGACGCATACGGCCATACAGATCCATGCCTTATATCGACTTTTCCGCCAACCCTTCACAAACGTCTTTTCCGCCGATGAATTATGGCTTGGAATGTGTCAGTAGGCGGTGAAACCTTTCACGCAGTTTTTGCGAACGGACAATTTTAAGATCAAGGCTGCAGGAATTCCTGTCTTGTGACCAATCGAACGATTTGCTTATCCGACACAGTCCCTGATTTATAAAAAACATAAAAATGCAAGACAACATACCTTGACGCAATTAAAATTCTAACAAATTAGATGAAAAACTAGTCGTCAATTCTTTCCAACATTATCAGAACAGACATGGCATCAATAATAAATTCCTTGCATTTAAATAAGAACGTTTCTCCCCCCTAATAATTTCTTACTTTTGCAGCTTAGACAAACATATTCGCAATAAATATCATGTGCATATTTGGGGTTGTGTTGGTGTGTTATCGTAAAACGCACGTTTGCTTAGGCTGTGAAACCCAGTCCACATGATTCCAGAAGTATTTTTTGTCAGCAAGCGTTGCAGTTGTAAGCGTCATCGAACTTAGCAATACCGATAGAACACTTGACGGCGAACAGCAATCCTAATAAGCGGTCAGGGTCTATAAAATTCACCAAGTTGATTATAATTAAAATCGCCTGGATTGCTTTCCTGAAATAGACAGACTCACTTTTAGGAGCAAGGATAAATTTTGTTATTACCACCGGCAGTTTTTTGACTGCATATAAAAGCGTTATTCGCATGCGTGAATGCGGCATTTTTGTGCTTGCCGGATGTTTACTGGCAGTCCAACTCAGCCATACACGAAACAAACAAATTCCATTTGTTTCTGAGCTACTTTCGGTGCGTGAATTGTACGGACGAAGGTTGCCTGAGCACACATTCAGCGCAGTGTGACCTATACTGACATTATTTTAAATCTCTGCAGTACGCAAGCGGGAATATATCGACCCACCAGACAACCAGACATCATGTCCACGCATTGTTCTTTTGTCCCTGGACATACCTAATCAAAATTCACTGTTCAGAAAAAATGAGGAAATATGCTTCTCGAAGCAATTTGAAATAAACCAAAGAAAACCTCCTCTCGACGAGGACTGTCGCATGCAGACGGTAAATGTGGAATGCGGACTGCGATTTAAGTTCTTCTGTTAAAAAAATAAGTAATGAAACAAACGCATGCTTGCAAGATTTCAGTAATTTAAAGTTTTAATATAAAACCCGCTAAATGCTATCCATTTGCAAATGCATGAGGATAACGTGCGAACGATCAATTTCTGCAGGAACCATTCGATTCGACAAACGCCTCGTCTTTGTTTTACCCGACAACAAAAACTTGTGAATTTCATGTTTGGGCTGTATGATATGGAGAATATAAAAAAGACATGGTTGATTACGAGAGTGTACTGATTTGATTCAGATGTTAATTACGTGTATGAAATTAGAGTATTTCACTGACTGTACAAACCCCAGATTCAAATGCTCGATTTGAAATAACGTCTGCGATATAATGATAACATCTGGAGTTCAAAGGCCAGTAGGCTGTTGCTGCGTGTCTACTGTAATAACGATGGTCTACCTAACCCGAGAGACAGGCGCGTTCTGCTTTCGAATCTGACTTTTCTCTGCGATCGAACCAACTGTGCACCCTACGAATGAATGTGAAGCCTCACCTGCCGCATTGGCGTCATGCTCCACGAAGGCGATTAAATTTCCAAACTGAAAGATAACTTTTCGTCCTGCTTTAAGTAAAGGCTAACTTGACTGACGTATGGTGTCTGGAAGTCTTTGCGAAAAACTGGCTGTGGTTACAAATGTTATTGTTGGTGAATAGAAATGCAGCAGACTTTCGAACAGTTTGTCGAAAGCATTTGTCTACGATCACATGCTGACTTTGCATGAATCTCTCAGTAGCCACCTTTTAGAGCAGGCTTTCGGAACATCACTACTTGTTAAATGCGTACTTTAAATACTGACTTTTGTTATATGTGCATTTATTCCGCGGTTTTTTTTGAAAGTATTGTAAAAAACGCATTCCTCGGGAGCATTTTGAAGTAACCGTTATCTCTTGCCTGTTTTGCGCGACTGCCCGTGATTTTAAATTTCTTTTCGCCGGTTTTTGAATTTAATGAACATCATCTGAGAATAAGAAAAGCATAAGAGCATTTGAATTTTGGTTGTTTCTCATCTTTAAATGATTCGCTACATTTAGCCAGTCGTATAAAGCTGCTTTCTGTATTTAAAATACTATTGTATGTTCTGAGACGTTCGTAAACACAAGGGTGGAAGTATTTAACCGGATGTACGTGAGGACTAGAGGACAAGATCGCATTACTGGGAGGTGTTCACATGAAGAAGAACGCACGATCGCCGGAACAAGAGCTTTATTACTCATGGCGTTTCGGATTCAAAACTGCTTCCTGGGACTCGTCTCTTCGCTTCCATTGGCAGGTGTTCACATATTGATTTAAATAGGGACTACTTTTGTGCTCAATATGGCCTGTTCCATTATATTTGACAATCTCTCCTCACCACTTGTATGCGAAATAGGGTTTTTTTCAGAATAGTTTTCGAACGCTTACTGTCTGAAATCTTGGTAAAACTGTTTGGTCAGGGCGTCTCCATGTGATTTTAACAGGCTACTTTGACGGCGTTTTTCCTGTCCCTTCGACACCTGCGCATGGGTTTTCTTAAAAACATCTCATTTTGTGTAGAAATGACCGTTAATTTTTTTCCTTCTATTACCCTTCTATTACTCGTCTGCACTATCACATGACTCCAGTAATGTGACAAACTTTCGCGGAAAATAATTTTGTGCTTGCTAACTAGTTAACTGAGTTTCTCAGGGGGGTCTCTAACTACTAATCTTACAAGACATATTTACCGCACCGGACTGCTTGGAAGCATCAGTAAAAATAAAAAATAAATTTTGACAGTCAAACTTACATTGTTGATTAGTTCCTTTTAGCTTCCTTATTTTTCAAAATAAATTAGCCACCGTATTATCAGACACCTGTCTAATTACATATTATATACAGCATGGGCAGATCGCTATAAATGCAATAGACCAGATGTATATATGTAATTCCCCCGTTACTTCAATCTATTTTGCTCGGTTGAACAAAAGTGACCTACCACTATGCATATGGTCAACGATAGGAGTTTACTTCGGCTAAAATGGGTGATCACACCAAATAACTGCTATATGCGCGATCGAAGAGACGCACATACTTCCTGTTCTGACAAAATACTTTTAGCACTTATGAGACAATACGTTTATGTTTAATATACAGTGTGGGACAGCAAATTAGTGGACTTTTCTGGACGAATATATTCCGTTTCTAAACCGAATCATGTGTACTACAAGGGTTTTACCGTCAGCAGTCAGCAGCTAACTCATTTGAAAAGCAATTAGTTTTCGTCGCTTACATTGTGACTCCATTCGTTGTTCTATTTAGGCGGCGTACTTTCGGTGCTGACAAACTAAGAAGTTTTAAATAAGACCTCTATATCTTATGACTTTTAGTTGCCTTTTGCAACGAAGTACTGCATTGCGCACTGCTGTCTGCTGTGGGCAAGAAATGCAACCACTAAACAGTGCTATAGCATGCCCGGCTGCTTCAGTAGAACGTTTAGGGCTTTCTAGAAATAGAACCCCTTCGGCAGGCTTTTGTTTCAACTTCATTACGGACACACTCGCCGCCTCCAGCAAACAAATCTTGTCCAGATTTGGCTCCTTGTTACTGTAGTTCACTTCTTCATTTCCTTCACTCCAAAATAGCTTAACAATCAATCTCACAGCTGTCTGTTATCCCAGTTTAGGCCTAATGTACATGCCTCTTGCAGCTTGAATCTAGTTCCAGAACGTAGACCACTGAAGCAGTCGCGGGCATAACCTGATATATCTGCGCCATATTCCGTTCACATCGACCATGCGTAAACGGGGGATGGAAAATATTTTTAGTCCACAACTGGGCTCGATGGTAAACAGAAACATTAAAGTAAAGCGGACAAAAAAAACTAAGTTAATCTTGCGGCCTTGCATTCGAGAAGACCAAACAACTTGAAGTTTGCGGAAAGTGCGAGATTAAACATATCCAGTGAACAGCCTTTGCTGTTTTCGGATGGCATTTTCCGACTAAAAGCTTAATAATATACCTTACTGAAACATCAGGTTGTTTATGAGAGAATGGTGAAGAAGCAAGTCCTTTACTCGTCTGATATGAAGGTTTCTCACAGAGACCCATAACAGTTGAATATTCTGCACATAGCTCCGACGATGGATTCCGAAACTATAGGTGCGTAAACGTCTTTTTCCAGCAGTCAGATCACTTTATTCCAAACTGATTACCGAATATCCAATTTTCGCTTCTATTGGCAATACAGGTTGTCTGAGATACAGACGAAGTCGTCGCCAGTCCGCATACAACTTATATTGGTTATTGTGAATACAATATTTGCTGAAAATATTCCTTGTAGACACTCAACAAATTTTTTTGTTAATTAAATTATGCTAGTTTCAAGCAGGAGGGCTGTACTGCTTAGGGTCATCGTGACAAAATCGTAAAAAAGGGACAGTCCGTCTTCTGCAGTAAGGAACAGAGAGCGAACAGACAGAGGCGAGCAATGTTCCGAATCTCAGAGTTGAGACTTGCGAGTACTGACTGCTGTAAAAAACAGTCGCTTTTTCTTAGATTAAATCTCCGGTTTAACAAAGTAGACTTAAAGAAGAAGACACAATCGCTGGGACAAGAGTTTTATTAGCCTGACGTTTCGCATTCCTGCTCGAACCCATCAACAGAGACTACGGCAGATACGGGTGATTCATGCACAAGTTCCTGCTCGAACCCATCAACAGAGACTACGGCAGATACGGGTGATTCATGCACAAGAGGCTGCAGTATTCATAGGATGCAGTCGCCATGCTGTCGCCATACATGTGAACGTTCACGGTTCCCGCCTTTATCAGGGATCGTCGCAGTTGATGTGCTAATTGTATGATGGCCGAAGTTCGTGTCGTTAATTGCTGCGATTTCATCACGTGCGTTGGGTGTTGGTTTGATGATTAATCAATCATCTGACCCACCGACCCTGGTGTTAGGATAAGTGTTCACCTGTGAGCTCCCCACGTGGCTAATTACACCGTCTAGACGAAGTCTTAGCACTGAGTGTGGAAGGGGAAGTTCAGTGCACTGGTTAATGGGCTGGGACCAAGCAAACCATGATTCAATTAGCTCCTAGCTTCTAGCGAGAATTTCAACCTCTTCGAATTCGAATGTGTGGCTGGATCTCGTCGAATGAGCCGCAACTTGGGAGCCGACGTCATTTCTCCGCACCGCTGCAGCGTGTTCGGCCATTCTCGTTCGGAACTGCCTTTCGGTTTCTCCGACGTAGTTATTTCCGTAATTGCACCAGATCCGATAAACGACTCCGGACGATTCTATCCGTGGAAGCGGGTCTTTCGATTTCATTACCGGACGCCTGATGGTTGCGTCCGATCTGTGTGCCACTCCAACTCCAAGTGGTGCGAGAAGGCGGCCGAAATCATCCGAAACATTCTTAATATACGGAAGCGCCCGCCAAGATTTGGTGTCCGTGCGGTTAGGTTTTTCGTCCTTTTTGCGTATGCACCGGTTGACAAAGTTGCGCGCAAAGCCATTGGCTTTGAATACACGTTAAAGGTATGGTAGTTCGGAAATTTTGTCTTCCCTATAACTGCAGTGCGTTTCTATACGCCCAAAGAGCCTCCTTACACATCGGTGTTTGTGGTTGTTTGGGTGGCTGTTGTTGAAGTTCAGTACTTACATCGTACTTGTTGCTTTCCGGAACACTTTGGTCTTTAGTCCACCATAATCCTTGCGGCATACAAGGACATCCAGGAAGGCCAGCTGGTTGTTCTCTTCCTCCTCCATCGTAAATTGTATGTCTGGGAGGACCGCATTCAGACGTTCCTTGAATGTCAGCAGTTGATCCCGGTCAATAACGACGAAGGTATCATCCACATACCGGGCCCAGAACTTCGGTTTGTGGTGTTGGAAGACCAGCGAATCGAACCGTTGCAGGACGGCCTCGGCGATGAATCCCGAAATCGGGGAACCCATTGGTGTGCCCTTCACTTGCTCGTATATTGTCCCGTTGAATGTGGAGTACTTTCTGAGACAGAGCTTCAGGAGCTGAAGGATTTGCGCGTGTACAAGACGTTTCTCCTCTTCCTCGTATTTGCTTTGTAGTAGCAGCTCGATTGTCTCGATCGCCAGGTCCTGGGTAGAAGAAGTAAAGAGGGATAAAACATCAAAAAATACCATGACCTCATTTGGATGGAGGCTAACCCCTTTGAGTTTCTCCAGGAATTGTGCTGACGAAGAGACCGTGGTGTCTGACTCAGCGGTCAGGTACTTGAGACGCCATATTTAGCCAGTCCGTACGTTGGGTCGGTGAGGAGCGCCGTCTTTGCGCACCGTCTTTGTGTCATAGAATCGGGCCAAAGCCGTATCTTGGGGTCTCGCCATGCGCCTGTCGTTCTGTGTTATTGCACCTGAGTCCTCCAGGTGGTCATTGGGTCAAGGAGACAAGGGGGAGGGGTGACATAGCTGTGAGTGATCTTTGTACATCGGGTACTTTGAGCACACCCTACTGCCATCAGGAGGTTGGGGCGACGTGCAATCATCATCTGGGGTCGGCATCAGACACGGGCGACAGAGCGCCTGTGTCAGCGTCTTCTGTCAACATATCACTGGATTGGCTAACGGTACAGACACTGCCCAGGTTATAGCTAGCACCCGTCGGCGAGTGCCACTGGAGGAGCTTGCTGGTGTCCAGTAGACAACCTGATAGGCTTTATTGGCATCGAGTCGGTGATTCGCATCGACTTGATGTGCGACAATAGAACGCGAAATCGACTTGTAATCTCCGCTGCCTAGCTAGGCCAATATGCGTTCAGGTACTCTATTTTCCAGGCGACTCGTTGTGCAGCCAAATTATCCCGCTCCACAGGAGCAAGTAAATTTACAAGACTGCCTTCTCAAGGGGACGCAGCAAGTATCCAAGTAAGAAGACGTCTGAAAATAACGATTACTACTGCATTCTCCGCAGCGAATTTACGATTATGTTTCACGCACTCTTCCCTAATGCGGTTGATTGATAAAGACCGACTCCCGTTCCAGGCCACTTCGATGTGTATTTACTCATCCACATTTCCCTTCTCATTATCCTCAAACGAATAGTAAAAATGTCAATATTCGTCTCATGTTATACTCCACCCTACAAGATTGTCCGCGTTGATATTAAAATAGAAAAACCATGAAGTTAAGTAAAACCTGTAAACAGGTGTTGAGACATCTGTTTACCAAATAAGGTTTCTCTCGGAATTCATATTTTTTTGATGGAGTTTTTTCCTAAATCCAGTCTGCCATCTTTGCAATATGCTGGTATTTTTGTGTGGAACTTGAGTGTTCATCATTATTTTTAACTTTAAATGTTAATAATTATAGGTATTGCTGGAAAGTCTGTTGATAGACATAGGGAGTCTGTCCACGCACGCATGTTACTATGACTACGAAACAGGGCGTCAACCCCGCTTGAATAGTAGACAAAATAAAGCAGTCAGGGTGATCAAACCTGTAAAATCTACTTTTATTTTGCTTACCCCTCGAATTTCACATGTTGGAATACATAATCTGAGGCAGCGAAGACGCGAGGCAGCAGGAATGGCGGGTGTGAGCTGCGTGTGTCACTGGTCGACTTTACGGTCCTTCTGTATGACATCCAGGACACAGAGCGGTACAAACGTCATGCGCGGCTGATAAACATGCAGCACGCGATGAGGAGATAGAGGATCCGGGCCTCTAACTGTTCTCGCCTTGTCCTGTTTTCGGTTTTCGATATCGCTTTGCTGTTGCGACGCTGAATCCACAGTTTATCCGCAGGTGCAGTGTGGTGTCAGTCTTCTGCATTACCTACTTATCAGTGCGTAGAGATTCCATAAGCCCTTACCAGCGCATTTTCACGTCTAACTGTGACAGGTAATTTGACGCATGCTTAAATATGATTATTGATCTACATGGACCTCCTGGGTAAGGATATACCTGGTTGTAATTGATGATGATATCGGTCTTGGAATCAGTCGTGACGTAAAGAAAGAACTTTTTTTCTAGGTAAGAGTGAAGTTTGTGTTGACCATTAATGGACACAAACGGCTTGCAGACACAAAGCAGTGTCCCAGGCAGTATGGCAGTTAAAGTACTATAAATGACCCGACCGTCCCACATTTTGACTTTTGTCAACATCTTGAAGTTAAGCAAACAAGTTAATTTATATCTAAGCATATCAATACCCAGGTTGTTTATTTAATAATCATTGTAGAATAAATAAAACCATTGTGGTAAAATCGTCATGCAAGTTGCAAATCAGAGACTAGACTGGAAATGCTATCATGCTTCTGATCTTGGGCCAGGGATATTCTAGGACAGCACAACTATTACCTGAGACGTGGTATTAAGATGTCATGATAAATAACCGAGGTACTTTACTTCAACCGTTATTGCGTACACAAATAACAGGGCAAGATGTCTAAACAGAAATTGAAAAAAATCACACACAAGCGCGGCACCAAAAACGAATTCGCCTGACAGCGGGCAAAACAGTCGACAGACCGCACAACCGGCGCAGAAACCCAACCACTCCCATCAAGGCGATAACTTCCAAGGCACGTCGTTGTGATGCCCGCCAAATATCCAACGCAATGCCAGCACAGGGGAAGAAGAAAGAAATTAATCAGCTGAAGGTCAACCCGGCCCTATTTTGAGCGCTTTACGCTTAGCTAATGGCAGGTTTACTAGGCTTTCCGAAATGGAAGCGGCAAAATAAATCGTCACATGTGAGCTATTTCTGTTTTTTAAATGGTTGCCCTGGATCTTTCAGCTTAGGCAATTTTAGATCCTTTTCTACCACAACACAGACCATTTAGAAACCTCCAAACAGAACAAATGGAGGCGCCTCACTGCTCTGCCACCTAAAAAGTTCAGTAACTATGGTCTCGGGGATTATTCAATCTTTAGAATGTGCCGCCTTTGAGATCAGAAGGAAAAACTGTTCTATGCATTCGATAGAGGGGAACTGACTAACGATCTAGACAAAGCCGACAGATTAATGAAAACACCATCATTTAAAATAATAATGCAAATATTCCGAGGAACGTCGGGTTCCCGGCAGTATTCTTGCGGGCATTTAGAGTATCCTTCTGGCAAGAACTGAAGATGAAGCATCACGATCTTACAAATCTCATTGCTAAGGACATTTATAAAACATTTATCGACTAAAAAGTTGAAAAAACACATAATTTGTTGCTGAGCTGGTTCAAGGAAGTATATTTTTTGCATATTTTCTGCAAGATAAATCTGAATTTGTAAGCTTACCGAAAATAAATAGAAAAGGTCCCAGCATTTTGTAGCCATTTTAAAAGGTGTTATTCTGCAGACGATCGGAATTTTGCTCGAAAGCAGACATGAATACTTTAGTACCATTTGGGTGATTATTTCTAGTCCAAAGTCTGTTTTCCACTTTCAGTTATCAAACTCTACGATACACCAGTTTCCGCATATGTGCATAAATATGCAAGAAATGCACTCGGCGAATGTCAGCCTATAAGCCCCTATCATGCTATTAACTGCTGGCTATTCCTCGAAATTATTTTTGCTGCAAATTCGATCAGAAACAGAAGTTACCATCCCGGTATGAAAGGTGGTGACAGAAAAAATTGAAATACCTCCCAAACCATACGTCTAGGCCTGTTGACGCCAGTATTAAGCGTATCATATGCTTACTACAAGGTTCACCCGCATATCTTTACATTGGTCGTCTGCAACATTTAGAAGCAATTGTATTTAGAGGCTCAGCTGTCCTTGGGAATGGGTTTCAGGGGGAATACGATACTTCAGGCGCAAAATTTTTATGTCCCAGCGACCGTTTCTTCCGGCGTCAGAGAAAGGTTGAAGCAGTTTAGAAGGTACTTTTATGTTCACTGAAAATCACGTCTTCCTAAATGGAAGGCACCTAAGTGTATTTGATTGTATAATAAGCGAAATTCACTTTGTACTAATCGTTGTATTCCAAATCCTATTTTATTGCAGGGAAAAGCATTTTCTCCCTCCGATAACCTTCAGTCCTAGCGCTCGGAAGGCGTTGTATATGATTTTGACTGTATCCAAGTTTGAAACAGTTTTCTGCTTACTAGGACTAGATTGCCCTTCTGTCAGCTCTCATTTGTTTTTAACTCACGTTACGGACAACAGTGCGATGACTTACTTAGATAATTTTGGCCGAACGGAATTGACGGGCGGACTCTCTTTGCAACCATTTCTGGAAAAGCTTTCATCAGACGGTGTCCGGGTATGCATCTGTAAGGAATTGAAAACAATGAGCCACTAAAAGGGCGCAGGTTGCGATCAAACACTACACTTTTGTCCGAGGCCAAATAACATGTCATCGCATGGTTAAGTGATTTTTTCCTTATTTTCTCCGGACTGCGGGGTAACTTCCGGGAGTAGCTGCAAAGGACGACGTTAATAGGATTTTTGTTGTGTCTATTAGTCCTCTCCATACGCCGGCTAAACGAGACGAACGATGAAACCACAATTAAGCCGGTGTGCATGGGTGACTTTTAAATGAATTATATGTTGACTGGCAAGACAGGTGATCTGCTCGCAGTGCGGGATATACGCATCACCGTTGATTCGGCAGACGTTTTATGGATTGCAAATGTCACAAACCCATTTGGAACAAAAAACATCTGCGAACGATCTAGAAAGTGTTTTTTAACACGTTTATCATTAAGCAAAACAGCGCTGCGTGTGGTGATCGCAAGGCATTATTCGAGTTTTCAGCAGACGTATGTCTTTTGTAATGTTGGTTAGGCGTCTCCACGTCGCACCGTGCTGACAAAGTTTCTATAATTGCGCAGATGTCTGAAACACTTGCTTCAATGAGTCGGATTAAACCTAAATCTTTAATTTGAACATACAAATTAAGTGGCGAATGTATTATTAAAAAATCAGGCTACTGAATATCATTTGCGCAGACCCAAAATTTATTCCTCCATTACTGTTATAGGGGTGCACAATTAAGCGCTATGATGAAAGTAATGTCGTTCGTATTCCGTAACAAAAGAATCGTGGTTTTAATTTAGCTTAAACATTTATAGAACGAAAAATAGGCCGTAAAATTATTTTAATTTTGTTGAACAGAGAAGACGTTGTAAGAAGTGACACAAGCCGATTCCTTCGAATGTCAGAACGTCACTGTAAATGATAATTATAATTGTATCCGGTATTGGTTCTTAAATCGAAAAAAATGTAATTTTGAGTTAACTCTAAACCATATTTTGAATGCTTATAAAGCGTTTTTTCTCTGCCATTTGTTCATCTATTTAAACAAAAAAGGGGTATTTCGAAGAGGGAATGAATATTATCACAGGTTATGAAAATTAGCAAAACGTTTACTCATAAAACCCAAAGTCGTGAACATTTCATTGCTCTTACGACATTTTATCTGCTATTGGTAACTTGATGACATTCTACCAAATTCTTATAATGAAACTTCATGCTCTCCGGCATTTAATAAGTAATAAGTCTTATTTTAAATCGTTTTATTGAAGGCCTTGGGAGTTTTAACACGAGAGACTATTTCGGCGGCACGTGGGATTTTTTAAACGGTGTGGTGCCTAGCGCTATTGTCGAAATAAGTAACGTTATGCATTTATGACAAATGACTTATGAATACGGGAATCATATGGCGGACGTGTATAAGCATACGCAACTTCGAGTAGAGGATAGTAAGTTTTCTGTTTTTCCGAACTGGCGATTACATTAGAAAAGGCAGCTCTTATTACAAAACGATACGGGAAAATGAAATCTTCATGAAGTTCAAATGGAAATATTTCTCGATAATTCAAAAAAGATTTATTTCTATGCGTGCTTGAAAGAGACTGTATACAGTAAGTGATCGATATCATGAAATGTAAGCGGAAATTCTGAAGTGCATTTTCTCTTAGCAATATTATTTACGCGCGGTTGCTAAACGGATCATCTTGCGGCATAATCCTATTATATTTCGGACTCGGCAGGATGTACGCTTTTGAATGCGCTGCTTTTTTAATCTCCTGCAAAAAAGTGCTTAGTAAAAATGACTGCTTCAGCAGCATACGTTCTTTCAATGGATTTTCAATGAGTTTGCAAAGTTAAATACATTTTTATCATTTCTTTGATAGGAGATTAAGTCATATTTATATCTAATACTCAAAGAAGGATTATAATAAGGCTCCAAAAGAGTTTATAATCATATGATTTTTTTACAACCGCGCAATGTCTACTTATTTAGCATCATACATCTCTTTTTTCACTGCGCCTCATGAAATGTACAACAAAGCCCGCATCCATTGCAGAATTTTTTGAATTTGTATGATATCTTTTTAGGGCACAGAAGAATATGCGATTTGCGTTAGGCGGAACGCATGGGCCTTGTAGACTAAAATCAATAAGTGGTAATGCAATGACTGATCATGCTCTAGATTATTTGGCAGTCAGAAAACGTTTATGAAACTTAGTTATACTGCTTCCCTGGATGTAAAATATGCAAGCGGCGTGATTAGTTATTAAACAACTGAAATAAACCATTTGTTTGTTCGGGATTTCTATAAAATATATTTCATTTTGCTAAACCATCAAAAATAAATGAGAAAAATCCATGCTGCATAAGTAGTTATTTTTAGTAAGTAATGTTTTACAGGACATTGAAGATCAGCGTAGTCAAAAGCTAACATCTTGCCGAGTCCGAAATATTATAAGATTATGCCGCATAACAATCAATTTTACAACCGCGCTACGTAGTCGTTACTAATTTAAAAAAAAACGAATTTATAATTTCAGCCAACATTTCACGTGTGCAATGGATGTCAGAACCTAAAGTGCACGTGAATAGAATGGCAGGGTTTTCTTTAGCATGCTCTAAAACAAGACCTATAACAAGCTCATTAAGGTTCAGCATACCGGCGTAGATAAATGACTTAAGGGGACTATTTGATGCCAGCCAGTACTGACACACCCTACTCATTTTCACACAAAAAGACATTCAAATTTGCACAACTATCGCCAGACACCTCACAACATATGAGAGAGCCTTCATTCGAAGCAGAGCTGCAAGTTATCTTCCAAATCGGATATTTTATGGTTTTTATGCAATAAGCCGAATTCAGGGTACGTATACCTTCACATAGGCAGATTTAAGAGCAGCACGAGTCTGCCGATTCGGGCTAGAGAAACGGTTAACTTCTGCCGGCCTTTGAGCTTATGGACGTCAAACTTTTGGCGGAAATGTTATTTTAATTTCAAAAATAAGGTCTTGGATTTATGCATATAATGGAATGCGAAATCTGCAAGTATATTTTTAACACCTAGTTATAACCAGAAAACTGTCATATGCAAAGATATTTTTATTTTATTTTTAGTAAACTTACAGACTAGACATGAAATTCGAATACATTTGTCGTCAGCCATGATGGCCGATATGCGCGTCGTTAATTCCGACAATTTCATCACGTGCGTTGGATGGTCTATCAACCATCACACCAACATCCAACGCACGTGATGAAATTGCAGCAATTAACGACGTTAATGTCGGCCATCACACCAAGTGCAACGATTCCAGATGAAGGGGAGAGCCGTGAATATTCAAAGACATGCGGTGGCATGGCTACCGCACTCCATAAATACTATAGACCCTTATGCACGAACCAACCGTATCTGCTTTGTCTTTGATGATGTGTTGGAACATAAATCCGAAACGTCAGACCAATAAAGCTCGTCCCATCGATCGTGTCTCCTTCTTGACGACTGCATCCTGGGACTGGTGTCTTTGCTTCTATTGGAACGCATTATCTTCGTACACAATAACACCGTTAAGCGAAAGCTTCAATCACTGTCTGCATTCCACTTTGTGACGGTTTGCCACCTACGTCCTGCCAGTCCACATGCAAACCTCGTTCTCTCCGAGGGAACATTTACTTTGTTTTCTTTTGTAGCCCTTCATGAAACACATTTCTTCACCTTCTATGGCAGAGGTAGAAAAGAACACGACGTACGAATGCCGGCTCATCGTATAATGGGATAAGTTATTTCAGCATGCCTACTACAGGAGTCTAAAATAATGTTGGTGCATGTCAGTCTGCGCTAGATGTGTGCTCACGTTTATTTCACCCATAAAATGCAGACGCCAAAACTAGATCAACAAAAAAAGCGATTTGTTTGTTTTGCGCCTCGTTGAGTAAGACTGCGGCAAACATCCGCCATGCACAAAATTCTCACCATTCGCGCATGCGAATAACAATTTAATATGCAGTCGGGGAATCCCGATAGTCACGAGTGAGTATTTTCGACTGCCACAGCAGTGATCCTTGCTAGGATCTGTGAGTCCGCCTATATCCGGAAAACAATTACGGCGACTTATGTCATAGACAATGCAGTAAATTGTGCAGACATTGAAAGCTTTTTCGGATTACAGATTGACATCAAATGTTCTGCCAGCAGTGCTATTGTCAGTGACGTTTAGACGGATCACCCTCGCTGGCAATAAAGCCTTCCAAAGTCCATAGCCTGAGTGAGCTGCGTTTTACGGGTACACATTAAAATATTCGTGTGATATGTTAAACATGCTTTTGTTTCTAACATACTAGAAGATAGGGCAAGCAGAAGAACCGTCCTGATCATAATGCAAGGACTTTTTATTGCTGTCAAGTCTGATCTGGAAAAACTGCGTAAAAGTGACAATAATTCATATGCAGATATTTCATGCAATTTGGTAAAATTCAAATAATGCCATGGGTAAATCATACTGCCCCTTATATGTTGCACCTCAGCATACACGGGTTGTTTTTCCAATCAGGAACTGCATCAAACAAGCAAATTTTTCGATCAGCCAAAAGACAGGAATTCCTCTAAAGTTAATTTTGAGGTTTTTCGTTCAGGAAACCTGTGGGAAAGGTTTAAGCGCCTACTGACACATACCTGGCATTAAGACATCGCTACAAAAGAAGACAATTATGGGTTGGAAAGAATTTCATAAAGCCATAATAATGGCATTGCATTCAACTGCAACGACCACGCTAAATGCCTTTGTATCACCCATTACCCTTGCATGATTCTTCCTCGTCCCTGCGGATGCTATGAACTAGTGGTTTCGGGACACCTGAAATTCAAACTTATTTACATATAGTTGGTATCCTCCCAAAGTGGAGGCAGGGGTGGTTGCAATTAAACATTTAAATATAAGATTTGTACAGTCAATGAAATGCCCATATTTCATACACAGAATTAGAATCTAGATATAATTATTAAACTCTCGTAGCCAACCATGTCTTTATTTCATTCTTCATATCTAACAGTCCAAACATGAAATTCGCAGTCTTTTTGTTGTCAGATAAAACGAAGACAAGGCATTGAACCGGATAGTTCCTGCATACATTAATCCTTCTCACATTATGCTGATGTATTTGGAAAAGGATTACATTTAACGCGTTTTATTTTAAGACGTTAAGTAACTGAAATCTTGCAAACCTGCCTTCGCTTACTTGCTACCTTTTTTACCAGAAGAGCTTAAATCGCAGTTCACGTTCCCCATTTACCGTTAACGCGCGACATTTCACATGCACAGTGCGTTCCCTCCGAGAAGACATTTCCCTGTTTTTCTTTCAAATCACTTCGGCAAGCATATTTCCTCATTCTCTCTCAGCAGTAATTTTTTTATTAGTTAAGTCCAGTTAAAAAAGAATGGGTCGCGGAAATGCTGCCTGGGCGTTTGGTGGGGCGACTTATTCTCACTTGCGTACTGCAGAGATTTGAAATAATTTGAGTATATGTCACACTGCGCTAGATGTGTGATCACTTTCGCGCATATAATGCAGACACCGAAACTAGATCAAAAACAAATCGGATTTGTTTGTTTCCTGTCTGTTTTAGTGGACTTTGAATGGGCTGTCAGTAAACAGCCGGCAAGCGCCAAAAGTCCGACCATTCACGCATGCGAATTGCACTTTAATATGCAGTCAGCGAACTGCCGATGGTAACAACAACATTTTCCTTGCTCCCAACACTGAGTCGGCTTATTTCAGGAAAACTATCCAAGCGATTTTAATTATAGTCAGTATAGCAAATTGTACAGACCCTGACCGCCGAAGCAAACGTGCGTTTTACGATAGCACATCAACGGGACCCCAAATATGCGCATGATATTTAGTGCCAATATTTGCGTCTAAGTTGCCAAAGCAAGGAATTAGTCGAGGAAGAAACCTTCTCAAATAAATGCGAGGAATTCGTTATTGATGTCACGTCCCAGCTGGTAATGTTGGAAAAAATTGACAATAGTTCGCAACTAGTGTTTCATCTAATTTGTTGAAATTTTAATTACGTCAATTTTATAGTCTTTTCATTCTTTTTTGTCTACATATCAGGGAGTGCATCGGACAAGCAAATCGTTCGATCGGCCAAAAGACAGAAAATTTCTCAATACTTGATCTTAAAATTTTCTGTTCGCAAAAACTGCATGAAGGGTTTTATCGCCTACTGACACATTCCAAGCGATAAGCCATCGGCGGAAAAGAAGTCAATGTTGGGTTGGAGAGAAATGTCATTAACCATACTATCGTAATTGTAGTCGATCGCCACGACGACACAGAACGCGTTTGCTCAACCGATCACTCCTGCAAGATTATTCAGCATCCAAGTGGATTCAATGGTCCTGCTGTTTATGGACACGTATAATATAGTCTCATTTAAACGTAGCTGATGCACACGAAGCAACGGGAAATGGCTCCCTTTCCCTTACCCTCCAAAAGTGGAGGCAGCGCTGTTTGTAATTAAGAACGGGCTTCGAAATTCCCAACGATTTTGGCTTGCATCGGTGGTGGAGCTTATTCTATACTGAATACTGAGATGATTAAATATATTACCTTATGACAGTGGGCGCTTACAGATCAGATAGTTTACAGAACATGCTCGTTCCGTTGTGCCTTTGGGGCTCATACTAGAATCTCAAGTGATCCACACTTGGGATTGGGTATGACTGGCTGATGACGGCTAATAAGCCAGAAATGGCCGTTCCGGTCTCCCTTGTCTTTGTCGGCTCCATCTCATCTATGTCTACCACTAGTCGCTGTGCGACTGCATGCGAGGGTTCTAGTATGAGTCCCAAAGGCACACCGGAACGAGCATGTTTCGTTACCTACCTGATCGGTGAACGCCCACTGTCATAATTGATATTCCCGATCACAACCGACAGGACAACGGGCCCGTGGCTCAATGGTAGAATGTCAACCTCCCTGACCAAAGATCCCGGGTTCGAATCTCAAGTGATCCACACTTGGGGTTGGGTATGACTGGCTGATGACGGCTAATAAGCCAGAAATGGCCATTCCGGTCTCTCTTGTCTTTGACGGCTCCATTTCATCTATATTTTAACTTATATTACAGTAAAAACCGATTAGAAATATAAGGGATAAGCTCGGTGAAATTTATATATACGACTGTTGCGCTTTCGTCGCCTACAGTGTTCACCGGTTGCGCTACAATAGGGTAAGCGCAGGTTCAGTGACTGACGCTTGTTTTCCTCTATAATGATAGTAGGTTTACGTCGCATGTACCGCGCTATCTACTTGTTTCCTACCTGGATCCGGTGTTAAAATGAGTCAAAATGACCGGAGCGGCAGAGGACGTAGATGTTGGATGACGAAAACGCGTACCTCGGTGTACCAGCCCACCATCTGGCACAAAACAGACATTTTACCAGGACAGCTGCAACAAAACGATGACTCGACATCCATGCTCACGAACTGTATACTCAGCGGGAGCGCAACCGCATCTACCGGCAAGGAACCAGTTGCCCGAATGATGCCAGCACATACCAAGATGCAAGTGCCATGGTTTGCTGATCCTGGCGTAGCAGACTCTTACATTCCTTGAGGCCCAAATAAGGCTTAAATGCAGACTGACTGACATATGACGAGTATGCAATATACGAGGAGGACTGTGTGTATATGTAGTCATTTTGAAATTGGGCGGTTCCGGGTGGTCTCGGCTAAAAAAGACTGTTTTACCACATGCGGACGAGTATATTCATCAATCGAACAATTGTAACTGCTGATTCCCTTGCGCCTCGAATACCAATCTAGCGTCCTTAAAGGCAGTCGCAAACGCTCAGTTACACACAAAGCAGGAAAGTACCAACAAAATCAGGGACTGATATTTCGGCCTATTAGTCGTTGTGAGTTAGCCATAAATAAAAGCAGGATTGGATAATATGCGCATCAAACGCAAGCTATTTGCCGATACAAGCGAAGATTCGTGTTTCAGGAACTAGTCGATAAGAAGTGGGATCCATCGCTGAAACAAGCGCCTTATTCGCCTGACGTTTCCGATTTTCACTGAAACCGATCACTGCCACGGCAGGAAACATCTGGAGTCGTTAATTAGATCTAGTGCAGTTGCGGGCAAAGCAACTACGTTGGAGAAACTGGAAGACTGCTCTGGACGCGAATTATTGAATACGCGGTTGTGGTGCGGAGAAATGACGTTAAGTCTAAGGTCCCAGCCCACTCGACGAGACCCGGTCACAAATTTAAGTTCGATGAGGCCGTAATTCTCGTAAAAGGTGATAATCGCGTGAGCCGCGAGTTCCTTAAGCCATGCATCATGGAACCTCAGTCTATCAGCAGGTACAACGACATTCCTACGCCATGTTCCGTGCTGAGGCATAGTCTGGCCAAAGCAGTTAACTCCTCAGGGAGCGTGCAGGCCGGTGAGCCAAATGGCCGATCAATCATCACGTCAGCATTCAAAACGGGTTATGAGATTTCAGCAGTCAACAACTTGCATGCCGGCTATCAAGCAGTTAGCGCACTAGCGGACAACGATTATTGATTAAGAGGCGAGCGTCTAAATATCAAAGGTATGCGATAGCATGGCGACTGCATCCTATAAATACTGCAACATCCTGTGCACGAATCACCCGTTTTTGTCGCTGTCTTTGATGATGAACTTAGGTGAGAATCCGAAACGCCAAGAGAATAAAGCCCTTGTTCCAGCGATCTTTATACTTCTTATCAACGAGTTCTTTGTCCATTGGGCGTTATACGGTCCCGCAATGTACCACCAAACATTACTCCTAACTTCAGGATCATGCTATGGATCGTACTAAATGATAGACCATCAAAGACTCAAACGTTCAGCGACGAAAGAAACGCATTATTTCATGGCGCTAACAGTAGCTTATTTTCTAGTAAATTACAAACAGCTTACTATTAGCCAAAAAAAACACTCGACTGTTTCTTAACACCAGTCGAATTGAGAACTCGCTAGGAGACAGAAGGACTAGGCTTATCGAAAAATTGATCTCTTTTGCGGTAAAACACTATCTGAAGACTGACGGTGGATTATTTCCCCTCGTCCTGGGGTGCAGACAATGAGATAAAAACAGGCTACAAGAGAGAATTTTCCATTATCTAGCCTTTCTTCTAAAGACAATGGCAGTTGGTAGTAATTATCTACTTTGATCATAGCAAAGCCTTTGACAAGGTGCCCCATAGACTCTTCTAGTAAAATTGGAAGCTCTCGGCATCCGGCCGCCTCTACTTGACTTCATCAGGTCCCATATGTCCAACCGATATTAGAAAGTTACGGTCGGTAATAGCTACTCAAAAGCTCACTAGTTTACGAGTGACGTACTTAAAGGTACGGTTCTCGGTTCGCTTCTCTTTCTTCCTAATATCAATGATATTTTGACTAAACTCCGAAATTCACAAACTTTTAATTATGCTGCTGACCACAAGTGTGTTTACTCATATTCTAAGGACACCGCAAATGTTTATGTTGAAAAAAATTGATGTCGACTTACTACGCTTAAGCAGATTGGGTTCACCATGACAGATGGAGTTTTCATCATCCAAGTATAGTTTAATGTCTTTTGAACCTACCAAACTTGCTGGTCCCATAATTTTTCAGAATAACCCACTCTCAGAATGCCTCACCATAAAGGACCTAGGTCTAAGTTATACAAATAAGCTTGCTTTATCACCTCATGCAGATAGAATCTCTGCCAAAGCCGCGCAGATAAGTGAATTTATATCGCATAATTTTTTCCTTCCGGAAATGAAGCTAAGAATTTATCTGATGTTTTTTCTTCCTATCTTCGAATACTGCTGTCCTTTATTTGGTTAACTGAACGCCTTTGACTGCTATCAGAGCGAAAATGTTTACAGGGTTTTCATCCGAACACTATTCTCTCAAGTTGCACCCGGTACTTCTTATACTCAAAGATGTCAGTTGGCGAAGATTAAGTTTTTGTGGGTTAGAGTACTCGAAGCTGGTCTTTGCCTCCTTTTTCGCATCAACTCTAACACCAATTATCCGCTCATCGACACTCTTACTCCGAGAGATCGGTCTTATGCCACGCGCAACTCCTCTATGGTGATTCCGCGGCCTCTTTGCACTGCATCTATGCACTCCCTCTTTTTGCTTCCAAATATGCCTTCCTTTGGAATAATCTTTCGCCAGAAATGAGGTCATCGTCTAAGTAACTGGTATTCAAGTCAAAATTACACCAGCACCTTACACTGGAAAGCATAAAGACACTGTTGACGGTTTCATTCCCGAGCATTCAGGTTCTTGACTTTGTGAAGGGTCCTCCTGGAATTTAGTGGTAGATCAAGTGGTAACCATCAATTAGAAACCTATGTTTTGGATTGGTTGCTAAATCCACTGCTATCACTCCTCCCCATAGCGACGATTTTCGCGCTTCTTGTTGTCATCTCCCGCATTCCGACCTCATGCGGTCTGTCGCCGATCACGGCGGAACCCTCAGTATTCGCCGCCTACTAGTAGTTTGGTCGAACCTCCCTTCCCCACTCCTGGGCTGGGCTCGAAACGTACGGTGGCCGATCGCGTTTGGGTTCCTCGCGTCTGGCCTCTTGGACGCGAATAGTCTCATCCGGCGTATCAAGTCCGCCATGACGATGTCAGTTCTGAATCCCGTATACAATACCACATGCAGGCCAGTCCTGTCCGACCCGTATACGTACCTCTCGAGGCTGATATTTATTTCTGTCCTGACGATGTCTGATTATAATCAAGGCTGACATTTAGTTCTGCCCTGACCATGTTCGATTATAATCCGTTATAAACCACCACATAAAGGCCAGTCATGCTCGAATTTTGTTGTTACATTTCTTTATCGAGGGGCTTTTTTCTCCTGTAAAATTAATCGAACCATTTTTTAATTTTTTTGATGGAGTTTTTTTCACTTCTCGCCAGTGATTTTTCTCAAGGGACTATTAATTCAGTAACTATAGATTGCATTTTTTGCAAATTCTGTTGACCTTATCTAAAATTTGCATGTACATTTTTTTAAATTGCTTTGATGGCACGCCGACGGGTCTTTAATAAAAAAATTATTATTATTAATCGCATTCGTGATGTACGCGACCCCACCAAGTACAGACATTGAAATGACCCTTTTGCTCCATGTTTCAAAGCGCAGCCAGTGTCGTGGAAAATAACGTCTGCGACATTCCACCGTTTGTATTGGCTAGGATCCATCAAAATGTGTTTTGTTTTGCCTAAAATCAATCATCGCCACATTGATGCTGACAGATATTCGGAGTGGAGCGTGCATATTACTTATCCCATTTAATGAGTCTGTTGAATTTGCTTAGCGACATTTACGCCACTTAAACATTTTATCGTACATATAAGCATCATATACGGTCGATTGTTTGAGTTCATTTCTGAAGGCGGCCTTTTAAATCAGGTTTTGACGTGAGTAACATCATCCACACAAAGTGACTTCACAGGTTTAAGTATTCTCAAAACAATTATTTGATCAAGCACCTCCGTGAGCTGCGTATGCCTAAATACAGATAACCTGAGCAAAAAAATGTAATATTATTGGGGTTAAGCCAATCTGCTTCGATTTTTAGTTACTCTAAACATACCAGACAGAGTGTGACCGAACCGCTGCCTGCTTCGCAGACTGAACTTTAATAGTCTGCGCCGTAGAGCGAATGGACTGTCCCTAACAACTGACCTCAAACCAAATGTGCTTCGAGGTCAGACACTCAAGAAGATTTCTGCGTGTGACACCTTACTTATTCACCTTTCTGCAGGAAAACCATATTGAGCTTGATTGGTCGCTGTCCATGGCTGAAGGTATGCAAAAATGGCACGGATATTCAAAAGTTAAACCTCCTAAGGCGAGCGAACTGACAACTATGTCACGACAATTTGGCCGTCGTCGCTGACGATGTCCACCGTGTGTTCCACCGCAAGGCGGAGAGCAGGGATGGTGACTTGCGCCTGTACTATTTTAAGCTGGCAGTGTACTTTCTCTCCCTTCTGTACCTCGACCCGCTGTCATAACCGGAGGCGGTAGAGGGCATTACTCGCACCACCACCACCACCACCACCACCACCACCACCACCACCACCACCACCACCACCACCACCACCACAACCACCACCACCACCACCACCGCCAGCTCCACCAACACCAACACCACCACACCCTCTGGTCTGCAAAGTTCAATAAGTGTTCTTACTTATCAAATATTAACCGAAATCGGGGAATGCATCTTCGACCGTGCGACATAATTATATGAGAATCCAGTTACTTCAGTAGGTCGGCCTTTGAACGAATTTCTGTCGGGCCGCCTGCAAAAACTACACTTTATAAACAAAATGACTTTCTAAACAGTATGCCTTTTTCCCATTGATTTATGCTGCCCTAATAAATTTGAATATATTTCGCGGAAAAAATCCGTAAAATACTCCTTATTTTGCTCATTTGGTACATATTTACGTCTTTTCAAATTTTATACTTGACGGAATTGTAAAATTTGATTAAAGAAAAGTGTCCCACTATGTGATTTTGTAACACCGTCAAATGTCCATTTATGAAACATCGTGTCGTCGCATTTCCTATTGTTGTTTGTAAAGTTTACAATATGGCTCAAATCCATTGCTAAATTTAGTGAACTTCATATGACCTCCAGACGTTCACTGAGCTGGCATTGACCAACAACTAGGGAGTTCACTTACACCGAGAAAATAACCAGGGTGAAACTTAGCTGTTGTTTAATTGCGAAACAGACACGCAACGGACAAAAGCAAAATGTGCAGCGAGGTCGAACACATCAGCAGATGTCTGTGAGTCTCCTACTGTTCGGTCTAGATATCTAGCGTCTGTGTGAGAATTAGCAAAGGGTCTTTTTAGGTAAAAACCAAACATTTTCAGTGCAGGGTATTTTAATAATCAAAAGGTCGAACCTTACTTGATTCCAACTGAGCATAAAGTAAGTGAGCCAACTTATGAAATGTCGGCCGGAATTCCTAAATGCGTCTTCGTATCGAAACGATTAATCAAGAAGATTTGTAAAACTGGTCGGCCTGCAACATAATTCTATAATATTTCAGTTACCGCATGATGCCGGCTTCAAACAAACTTCTTTTCGGATGCATGCAAAAAATTCATTCTGTCTAAAATAAATACTTTAGTAGCATGCATTTTTCTCATTGAGTTTTGATGCCCCTAAATGTCCAGTTATATTTCATGGAAAACATGCATAAAAATATTCATTCTGTTGCTGATCCGGTAAAACATGACGTCTTCTCACAACCTATTGCTTGAAGGAAGGGTATAATTCTGTTTTAAAAAACGTCTCTAGTTCTCGAAAAATGTTAAACCCGCCCTGCCGTCACACTTGCATTTAGGGTTTCTAACTACAAGCCGTTTTATTTCGCGTACGAAAAACCACACATGTCTCTATGGTAATAGAGGGGGACGACATAGGTTTCATAAAATTAAGAATTGGATTTGATACATATTGTTAACTTTCCAAGCCAAATTGGTAAATGCAGAGGCATGACATTTTATGAACGGCCATTTCATGGTATATAAAAGTCCCACAATAAGAAACTTCTTTAAAACAGGATAAGTTCCCTATAAGAGTATAAAATAAGGAGGGGACGTAATTAACTACTGAATGAGCAAAACAATGAATATCGTACTGCATGTTTTCCATGAAATGTAATTGGACATTTAGGGGCATCGAAAGTCAATGAGAACAATTCATGCTAATAAGTAGTTGTTTTTTACAGGGTTAAGATTTTCAATGCAGCCGGGAGGAAATTCATTCAAAAGGCATCATTTTGAGGTAACTGAAATATTATAGAATTATGTTGCAGGCTGACCAGTTTCAGAACCCTTCCTAATTTGTCTTTTCGGAATGAAAACGCATTAAAAAATTAGGTTTACATTCCATGAGTAAGCCGACCTACTGTAAAATCAAAACATAGTAAAGTGAGAATATCTCTACGGTCAGTGTGCCAGAGAGACGGTGTTTTGACCTTGGCGCTCGTAAAATAGATACGCGTAAATGTATGTCAATAAAAGTGAAAATTCGAGGTCCAAACAACTTTTCCCATCCGTCATCCCCAAAAGAAGGCAAAGAAGAAAAATAAGCGATTCCCTGAACCACACTGTATTTGTGTTGACGTTTCGGAAATTTCCTTATTTCCATCATCAGTGTTGAGGGGTGTTAATTCCTGCAAGCACAGAATTGTTGCTCTGCCTCGCCGCCTGTCTCCCGACGCATGAATTCAGACCTACCCTTTAGGGGGCGATTGACTTTGGTCTCTCGGTGGCCGACCGCTGGCGAGTTCATGTGACCTCTGCCCTCTGTCCGGCCACCGTTGTCGCTACTAGGTCCGTGTGCCCGTAAGCCCTCCCCTCATAACCTGATGGGCTAATCAGCTGCGCTGCACGTGCGAATCGCCATTAGCATTTATTTTGTGGCTTTTCATGGCTGAATGGTGGTCAAGTGCACGTATTTATTTGTTCCGGAGGAATTTAAATTGGTGACAGTGGCATTTTATACTGAAGGAGTAAATCATTGAGTATTTTATGAAGAGATGGGAGAGGGCATTTCATTGCGACATGCACTCGTTCACTCAAAATACGTTTGTACGTAGCTCGGCAGGGCACGGGTAAACACTCATTACACCACCGCATAAATTCTAACCGGTGATTTGATGCCCAGGCCTTCCGGTTATAACCTCCTGCATCGAGCCATTTACTCGGTCATGCAGTGTAGCCACTGTGCCGCACCACTGCGTTTAATGAGACCACACATTTCCGTCCGTGGATGAACGCCTATTGAGTAAACTTTCGACGGTGCTTTAACCGGCCTGATCACGCGTAGGACTTAAGAGTACTTTTTAATTCGCTCAAAGGTCTTCGCACCGCGCTGTTCCAGTCGTCCGAAACACCGCCCGACCAGTATAGTGCGATCCTGCGACTAAGTAATAAGTTAATGTACTTACCTTTTGCGGGTCAAGATGCAGCCTCGCTCCGTTTTCCAAATTTCTGGCAAGGGGTTAGTCATCCCGAATACCGATATGTACTCTCCGTATTGCATGGAAAATAACAGCTTATCATGAGGACACGATCTGTATTTACGAGTTTTATTGATAAGCTTTAAAACCATGAAAGTTTAAATGTTATCGACCAATTAAATAGTCTATTCTGCGCTTACGGAAGGTTTCAGGTAAGCAGTCGTGCGAAATATCCTATTACCCTGCCTGTCAGATTAGCATAGTAGAAAACGCATTTGATGAAAAGGATTTTCAATTAGAAAGGAAAAGCTAGGACAGCAATACTGATGGTCGTGCAACATAATCCCAGGCTATTGCGGTCAGACCTGGACGTCGGCTTTGAATTGGGTTTCTTGTCTCCGCCTGCAAACGCATAGGCGGTAAAATGTTTACTTGGGTAATATGAATTCTTCTCATTGACCATCGATGCTCTTAAAAGCCCAAATACATAACACAGAAAGCATGTATAACTTCTTTCTCTTGTACTCATTTGAATGCACATTGCAACCTCTGCAAGTTATACACCTGGAGAAAAGGCAATTTTTGCGTCCTAGATATTATCTAATTTGCGAGAGATTTTAGATCCGATGTGCATTTTTACTCGCATTTCAAATCCCCAAACTATATGCTGTATACTTCTCGTGTAAAGAAAATAAGTCATTTTGCTATGCTATTAGGGAATCATCATAAAGGTCCCGTTTATTTCAGTCACACCAAGAAACCAGCTTTTAAATATGCTTCTTTTCAGCCATTGGCAAAGATCACATTTGGTGGAAAGTGTTTGAATGTGTAGTAAGATTTTCCCATTGATTTTAAATGTCCTTTGCAATTCAAATACATTTCATAAAAACATTAAAAACTTGTAATCTTGTGAGCTTCGTGCAACATGTCACGTGCATTTCATATTGTGCATTTAAAAATGCAGCGATATAGAATTTAAAATGTTTCCAATTTTTCGAAAAAATTTAAACCCGACACTTGGGGTTTCTATATTGCTGGCTGTATTTTAACCGTGCAAGGAAGATCCCAAATTTCCCTTTCCTACCAATAAGACATCACAGAGGGTTAATAAAACTCGGCAATGAAAATAGACTGCGTTGTACGCCTCAGAAGGGGGATTATTAGAGGGACGGAAATGGTTCGGCTTGAAAGGTAGTATGAGCGACTTTAAAATATCATGACTGTAGCAGTGGGACACGGAAACAGGAACCCGGCGCAATGCGCGCAGCATCGCGCCAAATCCTTGTGAGGTTAGAGTTGAGATTAAGACAAGGGTTGGGATAAGGTTGGGGGTAAGGTAAGGGCTGAAGTTAAGGTTAAGCCCATCGCTCGGATCATGATTTGTGGTATAACTATAATTAGCTTCGGGCTGGTATACGGAGCTTGCTAGTCTTGCAAGCAGCAAGCACAAGACCAACCGTATTCTTAAGGGGAGTTTTAGTGCATTTTAACTTATAAATGCCCGAATCCAAAACCTGCCTTTCTTTTTAAGCATAAGATTCTAAAAAAACCTGTACATCGCCCCATATTAGTAAAGGAAATGATATTATCGTACGTGTTCTCAAGAACAAACAATTTAAATTAGTGCAAAAAATGATACTAGGTACGTTGTTTTCGAAGGCGCCCGGAAATACGCACATATAGAATCCGGCAATCTAATGTGACCGAAAATTCTCAAAATAGTGGATTTTACAACTTTATCTCAAAGATGAAAAAACGTCTCAAATACCGGTTAAGATTTTATCAGGAACATCCCGGCCGGATTTCTCAGTACTTCCATCGTGGACTTTTAGTAACAGCACATGGCTTGCTTACGACTTTTTTAGATCATGAGATAGGATGTTTGCCAAGGAGTGAATGATTTTCTTTTCGCTCGCCAGTTCCGTCTCCGACCAATTCATCTGCCGGTTTTGGAGATCAAAGCAGACGACAAAGTGTGGGCAATGGGATTATACTTATGATAGGCGAGGGCATGTTTCTGCTAAATTAGACAGCGAAATTGCTCTAGTGTTTTGTTGCTGTGTGTTTGTGTGGGTTTGTAAGAGAGAAAGAGAAAGAGATCGTCTGGAAAATTTCTTGCGTGGGTAGACCAACCGCATGCCTTTTTTCGATGAATGGCCCTTCCCAGCCCCCAATACTGAAGAGGTCGCGAGATAACTACTCGCATAAAGGACCTAACAGTGCGGAGTTAGTAACCATCTTTGCCGACTGTCATGAACGATGTATTTTATATAACGCAATGCCATTGAAAAAGGTTCCCCTGTACTACGGGGGGCGGCTTGCGCAAAATTGTATAGTTTAGGTAGAAGTTATGGTCAAAATGCAGTTTAGCGTCCGTATCACGTTTAGTATTAGGAGAGGTTAATAGGTACCCCTTCTCTGGACTTTAACGCTTATCCGAGGGTAAAACACTGCGGAGACTTCATTTAGTTTGGGCCTAAAGTATTGCTAACTGTGAGTAATGTTCTCACTCGGCTTTGGCAAACCGTCAAGTCTTTTAAATTATAAAGCCTACTTTTGCTATTATTTGCTCTTCGTAATCGAGAAAGGCCGCCCACCAAGTTGACCTTCAAACCCGAGCGGTTTTTCGTTGTATCGTTTCAATGAAGATGCGGGGATGTTTGAGTGAATGTGGATGTGGAACCCAGCATTTGTGGGCGTTCTTTTTAGGCAAAACACAGTACTATCAAGTGGGTGGTCCAGTCGGGTGGGATGAAAGTCAGGCTAATGGGGGAATCGGTAGGTAGGAGTAGCACCCGTACACATAGACTGATTACTTGCTGCACCAAAACCTCCATCCAAACGCAAACACCACAAGACGGGCTGGTTTGCATGAATCACTCCTAGTTGGATGTAGTCTTGTTGCCCGGGATTGTGGTGCGCCGTGGAACTTGACAGTTTAACCGTCAGTGACAAAAATGATACAGGAGAGGGGCCGATTGCGTGGATGAGTTCCGTTCATCGGTATTTCAGATTCGCCTTCCGTATTACCCAATTTTATGGCGGGAGTGTGCTTGGATTTGACGATTGATATGATATTGCCCATCAAAACCTGTATTATGATAATATCCTCGACGGAGTCATTCAGGATTTGTGACTGAATCGCAATATTAAAGTTCGTTTTTTAATGAGAATTTCTTTCGATTAACGTCGACAAGGAGCTTCTGCAAAAACGCCAACTCAGGAAATTCAAGTGACGCACATGTACCCTCCGCATATTACAAGCGACTTCGCATTACATTCAAAGGAGGTTTGGCTAAAAGATATGTAGGTCAGGAGTAAGATGGCTATAGTAAGGGTCAGGTTAGGAGGGTTACAGTAAGTATTGGGGGGTCGGATGTGGTTTGGTAGCCCCACCTGAAGTAAACAAACCCCAGTCACCTCTAATACGGGACCGGTGGCGATAGGGTTTTTTATAGGTGTGGCCAAGGAACGCAAAGGCGGCGACGTCAAATAGTTGTCTGCATTAGAAAAGCTATTAAAAAACCCCGGTTGTAATTTGGACGCGTGGGAAATAGTTGCGCTAACCCCAAACCCTAACCCTTAACACTAACCCCTAATCTTAATCTTAAACCCTAGCCCTCAACCATAACCCCTAACCATAGCCCCTGACCCTAACTCCTAACCCTAACGCCTAACCCCAAAGCCAACAGGCGGGGCTAGTAAACCACATCTTACCGCTGACGTTACTCGAGATATGTAGAAAACTGTAAACCACTGTCATTTTCAGTCTCCCCACTGCCACCTCATCTGTTAGACGTCGCTCTTCCCAATGGCGTAAGTGCAGAGCGCAACGTCAGGAAGACGTTTAGTTGCTTTCAGCGCTCGGTATGTACCCATTGTAGCATTTTCGGTAATGGTACCATGAATACGTGATCATCTGTAGTCATGGCGACGCTCACGTAAGATTCGATGGCATTAGCAATATGCCACACTTAAGAACGAAAACACGAATTAATCCATCTAGACTTTCTTTCGGGAACGAATTTTAGCCAGCCCACTCATTGACTAAAATTATGTGTTTAGTATCTGTGTGATCCGGAAATAAATCCTGCCGGGACGCTGTCTGAAGCGTGTCGGTTAAAACGGATGTCGGCCGTACATGAGTTCGCGAACTTGTAACTCCATGTGGACCCGTGCCGAATTCCAGGGGCAATAGTTTTCGTGTGCGAAACTCAACCCTAGCCACGTCAACTTCTGCGCAACCGTCGTTTCCTCTTTAAGCAATGACTACTGTCATATTGTTGCATTCGGATTCAAAGAGGTACAGATTGCAATGCAAGTTGCATTAGCTGTAGTGCACAGTCCACAGACAGCGAGGTAAAAGTCTCTCAGACTGGTAATAGGTCACTTTACAACTGCATACAAATGGTGCATGTTAATAATCTCACCTTTGTCCGATAGACCATTCTAATTCCATTTATTATTTAAAATATGCATCATTCAGTAAAGCAGAGAATAGGAGACTGAGCAAAATTGAACAGTTACAGTGAATACGAACTCTCATAAAATGTCGACAGCAATTCCGAAATGTGCTTTTAGTCCCCAAAGATTGCTTTAATTGGGCTGCAGAAGAATCGCTATGTCGCAGAGTGCTATGTCGCACAATATAAGCCGGTCATGCCGGCTTTCGAATGAAGTTCTCATCAGCCGCTTGCATAAGCTTTATTCCACTAAGAATGACCACATATATTGCATGATTTTTTATCATCGATGATTCATACTCTTACCAATTTAAATATATTTTAAAATAAACATGCCCAGTAGTTTTTCTCCTTTATTCATTCGGTAGAAAATCGTGTCTTATTTAAACTTCATTCTTAAAAAATAGCATCTTCCAGTACTAACAAATTTTTCAATGTTCCACAGATTTTGAACCTGACCTCTGCAACGCTTGTATTCATTGTTTTCCAACTATCAGCCGCATACTTTTGTGCAAGGCGAATCATGCAATTCTATATGCTGACATGAAGAGCACATATTGGGCTCTCAAAATTGTGTAATAGATGTGAACAGCGTAGTCTAACTTATAATCACCATTATTAATGCGTTGATGCGATGTCGTACGATTGGTTATTTCACTTTCAAAAAAATCTCATACTGGAAAGATTTTATCAATCCCAGAACTTAATGAATGTAAAAGGAAAGATTACTTTTAAGCATACCTTCTGTAAAATCAATCTGAATACATAAGAGCATCGAAAATCAATAGGGGAGACGGTGCTAATTAAGTAGTCAGGCGTTACGGAATGCAGTCTGCTTAGGCGGTCAGTAAGGAGATAGGTCGGATGTCAGTGGGCATATCTTGGCAGTGTGTGCACGGTGATTAAAATTACAATCCTGATTTAATATATATAAATATATATTTGAGAGAGGAGACGACAAAGTCTGATGAGTAGATTGGTATACAGTTGTTACCAACTTGTTTTTCTTCATTCACTCGACCATAATCCTGACCACCAGCTGGGATCGAAGACACAAACATGCGTAAACCCATGCACAGCCCCCAGAGTCTGTCATCTACCCTCCGTAATCATAGCCTGTCTGACCTCCGTCTGGCAGGTGGTTGCCTGTACTTGATCCCTTCTACCCACACAAGGCTTGTTTGTTTCGTGAAGCCAATGGATCAGTTTGCGCCTTTTCCGGAATTCATGTAAACAGGCAACAATCTCTTTCAGTTAATGTAAATGCTTCCGAAACCATCTCAGAAGAAGGGAATGTCTCGAACTATACGAAATGCAGTAATGTGGGACATTTTAACTTTAAAATCTTATTTTTGCTATTATTTGCTCATCGTAATCTTGGATGGCCACCCACCAAGTTGACCTTCGCATTCATGTGACGAGAGCATTTCGTCGGTGTATCCTTTCAACCAAGATGCGGGGGTGTTTGAGTGAATGCTGAGGTGGAGCCCATTATTTCTGGGCGTTTTTGTTGGGTAAGACACAGTATGAGCAAGTGGGTGGTCCAGCCGGGTGGGATGAAAGTCGTGCTAATGGGGCAATCAGTATGTAGGAGTAGCACCCGTACACCCAGACTGACCACTTGCCGCACCAAAACCTCCATCCACCCGCAAACACCACAAGACGGGTTAGTTTGCATGATCAACTCCAGATTGGATGCAGTCTTGTAGTCTGAGTTATTGTTGCGCCGGTAGAGTGGGCGGTTTAACCGTCAGTGGCAAAAATGATGCATAAGAGGGATCGATTGCGTGGATTTGGAATTCTGTTCATCGGTATTTCAGTTTCGCCTTCCGTATTACCCACTTTTATGGCTGGAGTGTGCTTGGATTTGACGACTGATTTGATATTCTCCATCACATCCTGCATTATGATAATATTCTGGGCGGAGTAAGTCAGTATTTAAGTATAGTTTTCAATGGGACTTTCTTTTGATTGGCATCAACAAGGAGGTTGTGTAAAAACGTCAACACAAGAAATTCGAGTGACGCACAGATACATGTATTCTCCGCATATTACAAGCGACCTCGCGTTACACCCAAGGGAGGTTTGACTAAAAGATAGATAGGTCAGGCTTATGATGGCTATAGTAAGGGTCAGGCTAGGAAGGTTACAGTCAGCATTGAGGGGTCGGATGTGGTTTGGTAGCCTCGCCTGAAGCAAACAAACCCCAGTCACCTCTAATGCAGGGCCGGGGGTAATTGAGGTTTTTACAGGTGGGACCGGGGAACGCACAGGCGGCGAGATCAAGTAGAGGTGTGCGAAAGAAAAGCTACTGGGAATGCGTATTTGTAATCTGAATGGTTGGGGAATAGTTGCGCTAACCCCTAACCCAAACACTCACTATTAACTACAACCACTAATTCTAAGCCCTAACCCTTTACCCTAACCATGACCCCTAAACCTTTACCCAAACCTCAACAGCATTGTGTCCATCAAGTGGGACTACCAAAACATATCTTACGGCTTCAAGGTTCCGACTAATTTTAAACACCATCAACGGTTGCCTTTGCGTTTGTAACTTCAACAAGGCACGCTGTACAGTTCCTGTTTAAGGAGAATTATACACTCCCGTAGGTTATAGAGAAGATGGCGTATGAATCTTATGGCATTCTGCTATGAGTGTACATTACACAGTTGCACAAATCTCAAAACAATTATCTCTCTAAGACAGAGAGTTACTCCTTCTTCAGGTATAAACATACAGAAGGCGTCTTTTGCAACAGGACCTCTACGAAAAAAGTGGTTGTTTGGAGAGCGGTTGTTTTACGGAACCCGCTTCTCCGGCTGTGCCTGGGGAGCTGGTGGTTTCTTGTGGAAGATCAGACATTTCCTGTCATGTCGTTTACTATCAGCGGAGCAAATCTCGAAGAGAGCCACAGAGAACATCTTTTAAAACGTCGGCACACGGATGACAAGAATTGTCCCCTTCGCGGTTTCCGAAATCTGCAAAAAAACATGTTTCGGGAGTGATTTGAAGAGAGAAAGAGAAACGCGATAGATTAAAACGCTGACTTTCGGTTAAACCAGAAGTTTTGCCAAAATACCGAACGTCAACTGCAACCACTTTATCCACTACAAGCGAGGTTGCATAATGGCACTGTTCCGGCATGTTGAGAGAACACAATTGCCTCGCGATACAATGTTCATTTACTAAGGTGCCTTCAGATGCTGTTAAGGACATTTGGCTACACGTAGGCCTGTGCCCACATTTGCACTCGAAGACGAGATGAAAGGTCAACCCGGACTTTGGCGAGCCTTTCCATACGTCAATAATCTCAGTGACCGCATGCCACTTTGAATTGATGCTATACATAAGACGGAGGGAATCGTCAGAGTCCGATGATGAAATCTTAAAACACCAGTACAGTCATAAACGAGCGAATTCTTTCAACCGACCTGGTAGACCAGCTGAAATAATGTAAAATTATTTCGGACGCGGATGGATGAACAGACGCCGGCATGGAGAAGGAATAACGACAGTCCTTTATCTCCGACTCAGTCAACGAATCCCATCATGATTTCAATGTCAACGAGGTTGAGAGGTTATTTATTTTATCTGCTATGTGTGCGGAGAAACTATATCTTATAAAGCCGAACATCCTGGGCGTCCCTCTACTTCTCTGCGTTGTTTTCTCTGATAATGCGGTGGACGCGCGTAGATGAGTTGTCTGAAATCATCCGTAACTGCGCCCCAACTCACAACCGATTGGCTTCTCAGTGTCAATTCGTCGTAGTAAGATGGATAAGGTAAGTATCGAAAGGATAACCAGACTTGAAGATTAACACACACTGGAGACCCGTATCTGAATCAGCCAGCCGGTCAAGGTTCTCATCAATATCGTCGACCAGTTAAGTAACTTTATCGATGTATGAGGAATGAATGTACAGCGTATTTGGAGCCCTACCCTACGTAAACCTCCCCTACGCATATGTTGACCCGCACACATCCAGGCATAGCAGCCGCCTATGTCTCGCATGCTATAGTGGACAGGAACTACGATACGATGACTGTCAACTCACCTCTGCAGGCCTATAACTCTGCACGCCATCCGAACGCCCCTGTAGCCGGTCACTCGGAAAGTCGTCAGCGCCTCCATTTATCTATATCGCCCTAACTGCACTTGGTATGCCTGACAAGCGCTGCGCGTGACGCCCTGGGGCTGATCAATATTCTTCTTTTCACTGGTTGGCTGCAGTCGAACTGAGTTCAGGCGCAAGCACTTCAACTGTCATTTGTCAGATGATGGCGCCTATGCCATTGTCATTGTCGGTGTAAATAAAACTTGACAGTTCCCCACACCTACAATCGCTTCTGCAAATTGTTTAATGTACAACATTTAGACACCAAAAACGCGGACAATTCTGTTTTGGTTTGCCCCCGTAATTTACTGCATCGAGCGCTCTAACTGAAAGAACCCATATCAGCAGGACACGTTTACCCAGTTGATGCTTGTGTCAGGGTCATAGGAAGCAAGGGGACTGCGACTTGATTTACAAAAAGAAAAAAACGTATTCAGGATGTCAATTAGAGCGCGGGAACCTAGTGGCGAAGATAATAAACATGTTAATTATTGCTTTAAGTGCGCAGTTTGTCTCCAGAGCAAACCGAAATGTTAAAGTGAAATGGAAAATTCCCCATGACATATTTTGTCAAAATGATTACATCCAAACGCATAAAAATAACTCGAGATAAGCGATTGTGACTTCAGTAATTAATGCTAATGGGAATAGGAGAAAACCATGGTTATTAGATGTTTCATATGGATGGTCAGCGAGCGACGGTGGCAGAATACACCTAACTGCAAGTGTAAAAACTGGCAATAAAAATAATCATATCGATATAGGTAAAGATTCGAGGTCCAGATATTGTGTCGCGTTCTTCGTCGCCGAAGAAGACGAAGAAGAAGAGAGGACGAATTTATGGATCAAGTTAGATTTGAACTGGCGCTTCGGAAACCCTCTCGTTTTTATCATCAGAGTAGTGTGTGGGTTGTTCCTGCTGGCCTTGATTGCTTCAGCCTTGATACCTGTCTGACATTATATCCGTGTTCGAGGTACGAACACCCGCCGCCGATCAGCGTTGACCTCTCCACGGTTGACCGCCGGTGGGCTCGTGCCACTTTGACCCCTTTGCGGTCGTCGTAATTGTTGGCCAGCTGCATGCTGGTCGGCCTCTCCCTCGTCATTCAACTGACTGATCAGTTGTTTGGGCTTATGTGAATTGATCTCAGCCTCTAGGGAGCCGCGGGGAGATGGCGTCCCATGCTGGTCACATGACTCCTGGACGGCTTCTTTCCTACTTTCCACTGGCATCGGCTGTCGGCCACGCGCCAATATGCACGACTGTCCTGATGGCCTTGTCCGCACTGACTCGAGCTTTGTGTGTAGCGCTTGTTGGGCGGGATGCAGATTAATGGCTCTGTTGAGTGTCAATAGAAGCGAAGAGCCGAGTCTCAGGAAGTTGTCTTGAAGAAGGAGACACGATCGCCGGGACAAGAGCTTTATTAGCCTGACGTTTTGGAGTCCTACTCGAATCCATCATCAGAGACAAAAGAGCAGAAACGGGTGGTTGTTGCACAAGGGGCTGCGGTATTTAGAGGATGCAGTAGCCATGCCTCCGCATACCTATGAACGTTCACAGGTCCCCCCTTCATCCGGGATTGTCACACTTGGTGTGATCATTACTTGGTGGCCGACGTTCGAGTCGATAATTATTGCAATTTCATCACGTGCGTTGGATGTTGGCGTGATGATTGCTCGAACATCTGACGCGTTGACTCGGGTGTTGGGAAGAGTGTTCACCAGTGCGCTTTCCGCGTGGCCAATTACTCCGCCTAGACGAAGTCTCAGCACGCTGTATTGAATGGGAAGATCGTTGCACTTGTTGATGGACTGGGGGCCAGTAAACCATGATTCCAGTAGCTCCCGGCTCACTCGGTTGTCATCTCTTGCGAGAATTTCGGCCTCATCGAATTTAAATGTGTGGCCGGATATCGTCGAATGAGCTGCAACTTGAGAGCTGGCATCAGTTCTGCGCACCGCTGCCGCGTGTTCGGCCATTCTCGTTCGGAGCTGTGCTCCGGTTTCTCCGACGTAGTTGCTTTGTCCGCAACGGCACCAGATCCGATAAACGACTCCAGACGTTTCTAGCCGTGGCAGTGGGTCTTTCGGTTTCATGATTAGACGCCTGATGGTTGCCTCCGGTCTGTGTGCCACTCCAACCCCAAGTGGTGCGAGAAGGCGGCCGACAGCTTCCGAAACGTTCTTGACATACGGAATAGCCCGCCAAGACTTGGTGTCCGTGCGGTTAGGTCTTACGTCCCTTTTGCATATGCACCGATCGACGAATTGTTGAGTGTGCCAGTAGAGGATCAAGTTTCAAGCATCTGTCTGACCATCTTACTATTGGCTCGGCCGATTACCCTTGCCTTCTCAAAGATGAAATTGTGATTTTTCTGGTAGACGTGGCCAAAATCCATAGACAGCTTGTCCTTGCGGTTGATTGCGAACTGGCATATGTAGAATGGCGATATCAACAAAGAGAAGTGAGACTGGGATAACCGTTTCAGGCTCATCAACCGTAGTCAGCCGGTCACACCCTACCCCGAATTGTGGAACACCTGCGGCTCGATTTTGCGACCTGGTGGTTGTAAGTCCAACGTCTTTAACCACTCAGCCACGTTCTCGTTGTCCTGTGACAAGGTGTTGGCCTTCTAATCTACGGGTCGCAAGATCGATCCTAGGTTGTTTCACTCCTCACAGCTGCGTTTGGCTAGCTGTCTATGACCGATAAGCCGGAAGTGGTCGATGCAGTCTCCCATGTCTTTGTCTGTAATGCCTGCTGGAATAAATGGTGCGCTTAAGTAAAAAAAAACATGACGGAGGCGTATTTTCTGGGACATTTTGTTTATGGTGAAGTACATTTGCAGATATTTTTTGCAAAATATTGGGAAAATAACGTTGACCAAGGAGCTACTGTTTGTTCACTGTCGTCAGCGTCCGTTATTTGGTAGAAGGTCTAACGAAAGCTGACGTTTAGTACTGTTTAAATTGTGTTAGGGTAATTTCCACTTCTAGTGTATCCCACATCATATATGCAGGTTACCGTATTACCAAATCTCACTGCTCAATGGTTCTTGGTGTTTGGCGCACATTGTTTATACCAGAAACAGAGTCAGAAGATTGTGGGTGTCCCACCAAGGAGAGGAGCCCTTGGAAGTTGCACAATGCAGTAGAAGCCATTGACCAGAAGTAAATGTGCGACATTTAATATACTCCTGACCGTTTCCTTGCAAACGCGATTATTTAGCTTGTATTCAGTTGGACCAGGGAGGTTAGTGACAGTCATTCCGAAACATCGTGTTCCTCTGTAAAGAAGTTTGAGGCTTAGCGCAGAAAGAAAGGAGTTATATATGAGAAAAGTCGTATCTGTCACAAAAACCAAGAATGATTAACCATGTTGGCAAAACGTGGTTTAGCAAACAGAGCACAATCAGTTTTCAAAGGCTTCTCGCTTACGCATGGGTTAATGAGGAGGAAAGGAAGAAGAAGGCCTTACCAATTTTTTGGTGAATTTTGACATTCTACCTCTATAAATTACGCAGTTTTAGCACAGTTATTTTAAGTAATGCACTAATGCAAGCAATTAAAACTGTTGTATTTTTCAAATTACAGATAAATCGATCGCCTTCGTTGTTCTTGGAAACGAATTAGTGCCAAAGAGCTCGGGAATTTCACATTGGCATTCCATGATTGAAAACGCAGATTTTACCATTACGGAAATCCACGAGCCTCAGCCTATCTCTTGATGAACTCCGTTGGTTTCATTTGCTTCCACATCTCAAACGGCTACCACAATGTTTTCCCATTTTTCTAAGCAAAACCGAGTTGTGGGACTCGCAATTTCTGTGCTCCCACTACCCCTACATTTCAAGAAAACGTGAACAGTATTTTGCGAAAACTACCAGTGCTTACAATGGTTTTTCAACACCTTTTAGCGTTTCATACGAGCAGAGAAAACTAATGATATTACCACGAAGAAGCCACAAAGCCGTAGCTTGGATGGTTATTAACTGACGGGACAAATTGGACCTCGCAGTCGACCCAGCGCTGTGTGTTTTTGTGGT